TATAAAGATTCGTGCTGAATTTTGTTGAATCTGTATTTTTTTTTCTAGCTGTATGTTTTGTTTGTTCAAAGTATGAACTTGTTAAAAACAAACCCCTGGGCCTTTTCAGCAGGTTTGAGACAATAATAAAAAAAATGCTTTTACTTTTCAGTTCTGTTCAAAAATGTATTGGAATAGAAAGTACAGATACCTGCTCTCAAATGTAGAGTACTGTAAAGTCCAGACTATTGAGCGCACCTGAACATAAGCCGCATCAACAAAATTTAAACAAAATGTTAAAACTGTACATATATAGGCCGCACCTGAATATAAGCCGCAGGTGTTCACGTCTTCAAGAATGTTTTTAAGTTCAGGTCGTCTGCTTTTATTGCCTCTGAAAGTTTTTGTCGTCTTTTTGCATTGAGTCAGTTCGTCACGCTGCCGTCGCCAAAATCTCACCATCGACTCATTGATGCCGAGCTCACGTGCAGCAGCTTGATTTCCTCCAGATCAATCAGTTAAAAGCTGCAACATCTGCATTTCTTCGTGTGTTTTCCATGAGGAGGGTGTGTGAATGAAGCGCAAAATAACTGTTCAAAATACAATCAAACGAGCATTTTACTCGGCGCATCTCCCTGGACTCTACTGCGCATGTCTCCTGCAGAAAGAGCCTCTGTCCTGTCTGTATCATGTCAGTGTCTCGTAGGATTTCAGCAGATTTCAGACTCTCTCGGGAGCAGGGCTAGTTGTGTCAAACAGGTATGAGTGGATGTCCGGCTACCGAAATCTGAGTCGTTTCTGCTCGTCATTTGAGCTCTCACGTGCTTTTAACGCATACTGATATGAACTGAACAGACAGCGGCGTTTTCTGCACTCAGGCTGCACGTGCATCTGCTCTGTTGCCAAACCGTAGACCGTATACATGAATGGACAATGTGCCAAACAAAGAATCCACCGCATCGTTTTATTAGCCGCAGCGTTCAAAGTGTAAGAAAAAAAGTAGCGGCTTATAGTCCAGAAATTACGGTAGTTAAAGTTAAAAGTATCCACCTCAAGTAAAGTACATACATCTAAAATTTTTACTTAATTACAGTACTCCACCTCTAGTTGCAAATCGTCATGTGCCATAAAAGATTTTTCACTTTTGATTTGATAGTAATACCAATTAAAGTGTAAATTATTGTTTTTAGTTTGGTTTAGTTTAGTTTATTTGTTTATTTATCAGAGACAATGCACATAAAAAACATTAGAAGAAGAAAGAAGTCATATGCTTGTGCCAGGATATAACAAAATTGTTTTTCATTTCCATCTTCAGTCCCTCGAAAAGTTGATAAAAGGTGCACATGCCGATAAAATACAATACAATGTACACTGATGCAGTCATTCATCCTGTCAATCAATAAGTAAAACTAGTCCCATTCGGTCTCAGTTATCACATTCATACAGTATTTACATATTTACAGTTAATATTGCTGCAGATTAATGTGTAAGAAATGACCGTATTTTCCGCACTATAAGGCGCTCTGGATTATAAAGCACACTGTCATTGAATGGTCTATTTTTGATCTTTTTTCACATATAAACTGCCCCGGACTGTAAGGCGCATTAAACAAAACACAACAGTTAGATAAGTCAGTCAAACTTTATTTAACGCGTTCACAATAACTCTCAACTTTGTTCAATTGTAATGCGTAAAAAAAAATACTGTCTGAGACGCTAAATTGTTCGTGTATTCACAATAACTCATAAACTCTTCAAACAGTTGGGCGATTACAGCGTCCACACGCCCACATCCCTCTCGTCATTATCCGAGTCAGTGTGGTTACTGTTCTCTGGCAGTTCAGTGATGATTCTGGTGTTGGTGAAAGCTCGGACCACAGTTGATCCTGATCCTTAGCCCGGGCGTCCAACAGATCGTGGCGTAAGTCGCTCGGCGCTGTCTCCCTGTCTTGGTGAATGTGTGTTCGCCTTCTCTCATTCACTGCTCCCACGCACCTCGCACTTTAACTTTATAACAGCCTTGAGTTTAAAGTGGGCATTGTAAGCGTGTCTCTTGTAGGGATGTGCAAAAATATCAAAATATTGATTTATCGTATTGTTTAATGTGATGATACGGTATCGATATTGTGGGCTGCTGTATCGATATATCACCAAGAGTATTTTTTTGGTATATTTTACTAAATTATTTTGTTACAGCGCTGCAGATTTATTGCTTGTTTACAGGAAGAAAGCTAGTTTATGTGAAAACTGTGACATTTTCCCTGTTTTGATGATTAAAATATTTGTGTTTCATTTTAACTTTGCACAAAAAGTGGTTTAACAAAGACTTTTAATATCACAGCAAGGATTTAGCCTTTATTTTTTATTGAACCATATCAAATTGATTTGAAATATATCGTATCAAATCGAAAGTGCACTGTATCGAGATATGTATCGTATCGTGGCCTGTGTATTCGAGGTATGTATCGTATCGGCAACTTCTTAATGATACCCAGCCCTAGTCTCTTGACAGGTGCATTTTGATATTAAAAGGAATCACAGTGTGTATTACTCCGCGATGCTCCTGACTACAGGAGCCGTAATGTTGCAAGTGTGGCTTTGTAGTTTACTAAAGTCGTACTAAGACACCTGAATAAATTCATATATAAGGCGCTCTGAATTAGAAGGCGCAGAGTTGTTTTTTGATTAAATTAAAGGCTTTTAAGTGCGCCCTATAGTGTGGAAAATACGGTAATCTGCCCTGTAAATTTTAATTTGAATTACAATGATTGCACCAGGTCATGGATGCCTAGTGATTGGCATTGACATTATAAATTTAAACCCACAGTATCAGTACGTCACTCCCGTCATTCACAAGTGGAATCTGAATCGCGCTCTCCACTTTGGTCTGTAGCTGTGGTCCATTTTGGCGCTGACTCTCTGCATGTGCCCTGTGCCTCTGAGTTTGATCCGGAGTGTTTTGGACAGATTCGCGCCCTCTTCCGCTCTGCTGCTGATCGATCTTTGAGTCTGGACCTAACTGCCCTCAACATCTCCCCCTCAAGAAACCGAAAATCACCACGGGAGCAGAAAAAGAGACACGCACACACACACAAAGAGCGAAGACATGACGATGGAAGTGGAATAGAGCTTTTACCCCGAGCGAAAGGACAGAGCAGATGGTACCTCTCTACCTCACGACTGAGCTCATTTCTCTGGTGTGAGGAGATCATAGCTTTTAAACACCGCAACTAATGGGATCCAGACAGGAAGGCTCATTTGATTAACACTGCCCCCTGTTGGTTACTGGCGTGTCATTCAATTTTGGTTTAAGTTTGTTTATCCACAAAGAAAGCTGCGCCTGTGGTGGAAGAAGTACTCGAGTTTGTTTTGTAAAAATACAGATTCTGGAGCAAAAAAATACTCAAGTAAAAGTAAACTATCACATGAAACAGTCTACTTAAGTATCCTTTTAAGAGTAAAAAGTATTTCGCACAGATTTTGAGGTCCAATGAAGCTTCAAATGTAATTTTTATAAAGATTTGTGCTGAATTTTGAATTGATTTTTTTTTTTCCCTAGCTGTTTTATTTGTATATTGTTGTTTGCTCAGACTACAGATGTATTAAGAAAAAAAAAAAAAAAAAAAAAAAAAAAAAAAAAAAAAGAAAACTCAGGCTTTCCAGCAGGTCTAATGAAAAATACTTTTGATTTATGTAATTATTTTGGGCAAATAAGAAATTTACATTTTTTTCCAATGCAACATATAACATTAATGAAATCATAGCAAAAGTAACAACAACAAAAAATTCAAAAAATGGCCCATCTAATCTAACACAATGAGCTTTATTTCAGAATTTTCAGACATTTTACATTAAACGATATGAACTATTTTATTTACAAGTGCAGACAAAGAGTCACTGTTATAGTTTGGTAACATAACTGTAACACAACAAGCATAAAGCAGCACTACAGAAGAAAGTATTGTTCTAATATTAAGACCCACTCTTTATATACAGTGACCAGACCATATGTTTATATCACAACTTGAATTTAAAACACAATACAACTCAATTTTGCGAAATATAGGAACTTTAATGGATATAGACTAGAAGTGTGCAAAAATATCGCTATTTCATTTATTTTACTAAATTATTTTGTTACAGTGCTACAGTTTTGTTGCTTCTTAGAGAAAGAAAGTTAACCTGATTCATCATCATCAGTCTAACCTAGGATTAGGATTATTTCGCTCGATAGTAGGTGGGTACTTTTTATTTAACTGCTATTTGGTCGTAACATATGTAATGCACCGCTAATGGGGCTAACTGGTATATTAAGCTTTTCCCAAATTCTGTAAGAAGAAGAGCAAGAAAGTCTTTCCCCTTGATAAAATTTACCAAACATTCTCTTTGTTCTGGTTTTAACTCCTTGATCTCGGGAATCGTTGCCAACACAGAATGTTTGTCTTTGTCTATATCGATCTTGACCGCTTTGTTTACTGTTGTGTTGTGCCACAAAAAGGACCCAGACAGACGCTTGAGTTTGACGTCATGGCTTCACAGCTCTTCTCTGCTTTGTCTGTGCGTGGTCTACAACTTCTGGGGTTCTTGCAAACCGTCTAGTGTATTCCAATTCTTGACCTAGTCACTAGGGAGAAATGAAATTGAGTGGAGGCACTAGGTGGCGCCAGCCTCGCTAGAAGAAAGCTTGTTTATGCAAAGTATTTGACATATTCACTGTTTTGATGATTGTGTCATATTAACTTTAGTATCACAGGAATCATTGAATCATTTAAAAATATTTTGTATCAGATTGAAAGTGTACTGTATTGATGTCTGTATCGTATCGGTAACTTCTTAATGATACCCAGCTCTAATATAGACAGGTTTCAGCCCTTACGTCTACTCCTTTTTTTTAAAAAATGTATACAGTTTGTGGTCCTGCTATGTCTTTTCAGTTTGATGTTACAAAATGATAGAAAAGTTCTTCTTCTTGTTCATTTCAATTCTCTTTTACTTACATTTTGTTGTTGTGTGTTGTGCAGCTGCTGACAGTGAACCCTGAGCACCGCTTCACCAGCCTGTCGGACATGCAGAGCGCCCCCTACCTCGCCGACGTCAACTGGGACGCCGTCTACGAGAAGAAGATGGACCCTGGATTTGTACCTAATGTGAGTTGGACAAGGACTTACTCTGGAGATCTGTGCTCAGACAAGTGCTGTATAAATCAACTAAACACATCAAAAATAGATAGGCCACAGATAGGCCTGTCACAATAATCACTATATTGACTTATTGTTCAATATAGGGGTGGGCGACATCTCGATATTTGAAATATATCAAGATATTTTTTAAACATGAAATGGATTCTGACAGATCGTATATATCGATATAATGCTTATATTTAATTCTGATTTCACCTCTTCACTTGTTTGCTCTGTGCTCGCACAGCGAACATTATAATCTCAGACAGGCTGATATGGCTCTGTGCTGCTTATGGTTTATATGTTGTAAAGTTTATTAATGTAAAATGTATTTATGTAGAAGATTTTGATAAATAATCTGCTGCAGTGTAACTTGTACAATAGTATTTGGAAATGTTGGGTTTGATCTGTGCAGTGGATTGTGAGATACCTTAGAGCTCCTTACGCTGGTGAGGATCTGTTAAAATAAGGAACCTCCCGAGGTTCCTCTGCTGATAGTTGTGGTTATTGTACAGTTAACAGAGTTAATGCAAAGGTGAGGCTGAGTTGAGTTGGGAAATAACATTATTTTAAGGGCTAGGGATAGAAGAGTTAAAAAAAAAAAGTAAAATAAATAAATAAATAAATAAAGAAAGAAAGAAATGTATGTAACAGTAGTAAAACGAACAGTATTAGTTGTTAGTTGTGTGTGTTGTGTGTGTGTGTGTGTGTGTGTGAGCAGAAGGGCCGTCTGCACTGCGACCCCACGTTTGAGTTGGAGGAGATGATCCTGGAGTCTCGGCCGCTACACAAGAAGAAGAAGAGACTGGCCAAGAACCGATCCAGGGACAACAGCAAGGACTCACAGTCTGTGAGTATCTCTACTACTACTACTACTACTACTACTACTACTACTACTACTACTACTACTACTACTACTACTGGCCATACCGGCTTATCAAAGCCTGATCCCGTCAGATCTCAGAAGCTCCGCAGGGCCGAGTCTGGTCAGTACTTGGATGGGAGACACTGGGAAAATCAGATGCCACAGGGGGGCGCCAGTCATTAAAACTGTTGTTGTGTAAGACACTTCACCTACATTGCCTAGTATGAAAGTGGAGTGTGTGTGCGTGATGGTGGTAGTTGGGGGACCAATGGTACCGACTGGCAACCGCTCTTCTGTCGGTCTGCCCCAGGGCAGCTGTGGCTACAGTAGTAACTTACCACCACCTGGTATGGAGTGAATGAATAATGCTCTGTAAATGTTTTTGTGACAAGCTTTATATAAATAAATACTTACTTACTACTACTACTACTGCTATTACTACTACTGCTGCTACTACTGCTACTGATATTATTATTATTACCACTAATACTACTACTACTCCTGCTATTACTGCTATTGATATTATTATTACTACTATTACTACTACTACTATCACTTCTTTTACATTACAGTAAATAGTGCAAATGGTTAATACCCGGAACAAAGATCAGTTTCATTTTTCTACGTAGCTTTCTCATATAGTTCATCCCTGTCCGTCAAACTGTTCCGTGAAAAAGAAAAGAGAAGAGGTGGTGAAGATGTGGCTGTCTCTGTAAAACGCTTTTGTTCTGTTTGATGGTAGAATGCAGATGTATTTTTAGCCCACATGAAAAGATCCTATAGTGTACTACACTCCACTTCCGCTCAGATCGATGTGTGGAGTGGTTTGCGGATGTCTGCGGTGGGCTCCCAGTGAGGAGACAGGACAGTCATAGTGGATATTTGAGACGTGTATAAGTCGAGTAAATAAGATAAGATACTTGAGACATTACATCCACCTTCAAGAAATGGATTATAATTTCAGATTGAAATTAAATCTGAAGGCACGAAGCGAAAAACGACAAGTTGAACCATATTATTTTTATTCGTTGTTGCCATTCAATCCATTCAACTGAAAAAAATAAAATAAAATTTGAAATAGATTAGAAATAAATACAAGAATAAATATTGGAAAGTGTTAAATGGTGAATTTAAAAAGTGTAATAAATAAATAAATAAATAAATAAATAATAATAATAATAATAATAATAATAGTTGTTGTTGTTATTATTATTTCATAAATAAATAAATGCTTTTACACATTCATGCATACATTCTGGGGATTTAAAAGATAAAATATGCTTTTTTCTCAACATTTTTGTGTTATTATTTTACTGCTATTTTACTTTTATTTATTTGTATATTTATTTATTTTAAAATATAATAATTTTTTTATTTTACATATATACTTATTTATTTTTTATTTTTTAATATATATTTTTTAGGTTTTTTGTTATGTTATTTGTGCAGTATTTAAGTTTTTCAATCCCCAAAATGTATGTCTTTTTTGTTTACATATTTATATTTTTTCATCATTTAATTTAATATTTTCCAGCTTTATTCTCATATTTATTTATTTCTTATTATGTAATTTTTAGTTCTCCAACAACCACATTTCTGGAGGGGGATAATGGCACCACTTACTGACGCTATTTTGAAATAATCAATAGGATTTTTTTTTACATATTTGAATTGAGTTTAAAACATATTTGGTGGTCATGTTTTTGGCCCAGATCTCAGGTCGGGGTGAGATGAGGTCTGAAAGTGTTGTGCCTTTTGGGGGGTTGATTCTGGACAAAGTTCAGAACAAGCCTGAAGGCTCGGTCGGAGCGAATGAATACTCCTCTGTGAAGGAGAGAGGGAAGGAGAGAGGGAGATAGAGAGAAAGGGTAGGGGTGAGAGAGGGAAGGAGAGAATGAGGGCAAAGGATGGAGAGGGAGCGAGGAGAGAGAAAAGGCAGGAGAGAGAGACACAGAGAGAGGAAGGGAGGGAGGATAGAGAGAGAGAGAGAGAGAGAGGAAGGGAGGGAGGGAGGATAGAGAGAGAGACACAGAGAGAGGAAGGGAGGGAGGATAGAGAGAGAGAGAGAGAGAGGAAGGGAGGGAGGGAGGACAGAGAGAGAGAGAGAAGATAGAAGAGAGGACGGGGGGGAGGACAGAGAGAGAGGAAGGGAGAGAGAGAGCGAGCGGAAGAGAGAGAGGGAAGACAGAGAGAGATGGAGAGAAGAAGGACAGAGAGAGAGAAAGAAGGGAGGGAGGACAGAGAGAGAGAGAAAAAATAGAAGAGAGGACAGAGAGAGAGACAGAGAGAGGAAGGGAGGGAGGACAGAGAGAGAAAATAGAAGAGAGGACAGAGAGAGAGACAGAGAGAGGAAGGGAGGGAGGACAGAGAGAGAAAATAGAAGAGAGGACAGAGAGAGACAGAGAGGAAGGGAGGGAGGACAGAGAAGGGAGAGAGGAAAGAAGGGAGGACACAGAGAGAGGAAGGGAGGAAGGACAGAGAGAGAGACAGAGAGAGGAAGGGAGGAAGGACATAGAGAGAGAGAGACAGAGAGAAGAAGGGAGGAAGGACATAGAGAGAGAGAGACAGAGGGGAAGGGAGACAAGAGAACAAGAGAGAGAGAAAAAGAAAGAGAGAGAGAGGAAGGAAGGACAGAGAGAGAGAGAGGAGAGAGAGAGAGAGAGAGAGGAAGGAAGAACAGAGAGAGAGAGAGAAAGGGAGGGAGGACAGAAACAGAGACAGAGAGAGGAAGGGAAGGAGGATGGACAGAGAGAGAGAGAGAGAGGGGCAGAGAGGAGAAGGACAGAATGAAGGAGGACACAGAGAGAGAGAGGATGGGGGGAGAACAGAAACAGAGACAGAGAGAATGGACAGAGGAGAATGGACAGAGAGAGAAAGGAAGGGAAGGAGGAGAGAGAGAGAGACAGAAAGGAAGGAAAGAAAGAAGTAAGAGCAGAGAGAGAGGAAGGGAGAAAGGACAAAATCCATCAAAATGTGTAGCTGAAGAGAGAGTGAGGAGGGTAGAAACAGACACAGAGGAAAAAGGAGGGAGATAAATATATGGAAAAATTAAGTCCGTTTCCATAGCGATAAATAGTCTCTTTTATGTCCTTTGCACCTGCCCAAGGACTGCAGATGGAAAGCAGCTTTAACCAAATCTATTTTCTGTGTCCTTGTTTTCAATAAATAAATAAATAAGTTCAACATTTTCAATCAAAATATATCTTTTAAATGAGAAAAAGTCCTTAAAATTCTGCATATACACCCGAAAGCGAGAAAGCTGTTCATTAGCGTCGCCTTTTACGGCAGACGTCTTTGTTCTTTGCCCCTCGTCAAATCCAATTCTCGAGTTTCCAAAATTCTCCTGTCGTCTCCGCTCTGAGGTTTCGTCCTGATTTCCTCAAAACACAGCGCCCTCTTTGTTTGATTGTTGTCATTGTTGTTCAGCACAGTTCTCTCTCTGCATTCATCAGCGGCGCCGCGGTCCCATCAAACCCTCATCATCGTGACTACATTGTCATTAACGTCACTCCGGCAGCCGGCACGTGTTTGCGTTAGTGGCGAGACACGTGAGCAAAACAAAACAACAGGCTGTCCCATTAGAGCGGCTGTCTGCAGGCAGAGGTGGTGGGAACAGACAGGCACGTACAAGTGTGGACGCTAAAATAAAAGGAGAAATGAGCGAGACGTGGTATAGAGAGTTCACTGACAAACTTTCTGGATGAATATATAGACCGCTGTTGTTCTGTCCTGTTGGCACTAATCTGTTTGAGGCTTTAATTTGAGCTTTATTTTAACACGATTTGGTTGGAACTCCAGCAGGTGAGCGGGTGTGTGCTCTCAAAGGCTTCTGAAAATGATCTGTGTATAGCATAAATTGTGTTTTTGCTGGAGTTTATCTTTAAAGTTTGTTGGCAGTTTTTGCTCATGTGTGCATTATGGCTACATTCAGACTGCAGCCTGAAGTGACCCAAATCAGATTTTTTTCACCCCTATTCGACATATATCTGATCTTTTAATGACAGTCTGAACGACACATCTGATTTTTTCAGGCATTTAGTGCGACCCACTGTCCCAAACTTGAACAAGACTGGAACTAGGATTGCTCCTAAGGAAACCGTATTTATTTTTTTAACATTATTATTGATCTTTTTTCTCTTTCTGTATCACTGGGCCAGGTCACATTTCGTTCTGACTCACACATGTTTGAATGACAAAATAAGAACCTTGAACCTTGAAGTAACAAACGTCACTATTCTGTGCTGAAGTAGACAGAAACTGAAAGAAAACCACGACCATGGCAGACAACAATGCAATCCCACCACTCTTGGCTACGACTCTGCACCATAGAACTATAATAAATCTAGAAGATGAATCCAATATGGTGCTGTATTGTTTTCAGTGGCCTGTGTCCATTGGGGCATGGGCCCCCCCCCAAAAAAAATGTTTAACTTCAGCATTTACTTCCTCAAGCGCCTTCCACCCATGTGATGTCTGTAACATGCAGACGTGGAGTGTTTGGACCAATCAGAGCGAGAGCTGCAAAATCTGTCCTTTGTGAAACTTGTCAGTGACCTGGTGACACATGCAGTTTGAATTCCCAAAAAATGTGTTGTGCTTCTGTGGGAGAATTTTTTCTGGGCCCAAGCTCCAGTACCTTCAGTACCTGGAGCGACCACTAGTCGGTCTCGAGCCGGAACAGAGGGGGAATGCCTTATCCAGTTTAGATTAGAGAGCCATGCTCTGCACCTACATGTTCTTTTCTACGGACGTTGCTGCCTCTGCCCCACAAAATACCACGACCAAAAACCTCGTCCTTTTCCTTCTCAATCTCCTCCTTAAAACAAATAAGCTGTACAACTACTTTAAAATCACCAGGCGCTTAATACTACGTCCATGTTACGCGACTTCCGTAAACACTAAGAATGCTTCCTGTGTGTGAAGTTGTCGTGTCCTCCAATGCACATGCGAGACACTTTTGGGGCGTTTAGTCGCATTTAATTGGA